CACAGAAACAGTACTATATAACATTTTAGACACATTCTAGACAGTTTATCAGCTAAAAAAAGTTAATTTTGGGGTAAGTTACTCTTTAAATGCTTATGAGAGTGTTTATATTAGACAAAACAGTGACTGGTTTGTAATAATAAAAAAAACAACTCCTCTAGTAAAGTCAGTAACTTTGAAGTCACAAAGAAAAAAAGTCTTAGCAGAACAAATCTAAATRACTTACAGTAAGACTGGTAGCAGAGTCAGATGAGAACTCTCAGAAATATTCAGACTCATACAATCCTCTATTTGATCTTATTAATCTTTACACTGAACAGACTGAAGTTGAAGCTGCAAATATATCAGATTCCAATGAAAACCACTTTCAATTTGTGTTTTCATTGACGTTGGCTCATTGATTGACGCAGAGTATGGTGATCAATAGACACTGCACTATATGATTAACTTGAGCAAATTGGAAAAAAAGGGGGCTTCAATTTGATAAGTAGAGATTCCAGCTGAACCCAGAAGTAGATTTATAAAACTACCAGCCACCCGAGATTAGGATCAAATTCACCTGCTCAGCATGCAGCAGTGCAGCCTCAGGGCACGAGCCAGAGGGCCGGCTCTCTCTTGTTTGGAGCAGAAAGTGTAGAAACTCTTGATTTTATGTCAGTTTTATATCGTTTATGAAAAACTCTAAGAGGAACACTAAACCTCTGTATATAAGTGAGAAAGCTAAAAGATCTGAAAACACAACTCTTGTAGGACAAAAGGATTAGTTCAGAACAAAACAAGCATGTAAAGACAGAGGAAGTTACTTTGATCTGGTCTTGTAGTTTGCTGAATCGGACCGTGCCCTTCAGAATCCTGCTGACGAACACTTCCTTTTCCTGCTGAAGAACTGAAGTCTGGGGATGGACACAGAGAAGATGGAGGATTACTGAGCTAGCAAAAAAAACAAAAACATTCAATTTATCATGGATATAACATAAACACACCACTGACTTCAGCAGTGCAGTATTTACTGTACAGTTACATCTACTCTCTTTTAATAAACACTTTTATGGTCTTACTCGGACATTTTTAAAGGAGATTTGTTTTTTAAAATCCTTCTGATTGGGGTCTATATAAAGTGGAACTGCAATGCTTTGGTCTGAATTCCTCCTTATTTTAACTCCACAAGTCCCTCTTTCACCCCTTTTCTGAGGTGTGTCTCAGATCAACTCGTTTTTAGGCTGTCTCTTTAAATCTAAACTTCACACCTTGCCCCCCTCTACAGCTTCAAGACTGGTCCATTCAAGTTTGATAGAACGGTTTATGACTATATAGCAGTGCAACTGTTTATTTACAAATTAATTAAACAATGTCCACAAGCGAAGGCTTGTCCATCCAGCCTTACATGTTGGAGCCAGAGTCTGACCCAGAGCCAGAGGAGAACAATCATGACAAAATTGTAGTGGGTAAGTCCAGACCATATATGTCTGTTCTGTCACAAATACTGTGGTGTAATAATTCATAAAACTTCATGGAAAATAGAGAAAACTTAATGGGTTGGAAAACATGACTCAAACAGAATATAAAGATATGTGTGCAGCACATTTTCTGCACTCCTAGAGACTCCAAGTGCACAACAAAATGCATTTAACGGCTAAAAAAAGTGGATTTTGTATATTGAGTCTCCTTTATAATTGAGGCCATTATGGGGTTATGCAGGACTGAACTCCTGATGCTTTGACTGGAAACAACCTTCCTACCTAAAATTCAAGTTCTATAGGAACATTTACTCTTGTGTTTAAAAGTCTATTTTACTGCTGGTCTGGCTAYGGTTTTGGTTTATTGTACAAAGACACAAGAATGTTAATTATTAAAAACGAGATTCAAATGTGTGAAGTTACATCTTTACTGATAATTACACGTTRGTTTCAAGGAATGTTGGGCTATTTTTTAAAATAAATGGTCACTGTAGGAAACTAACGAGAAGCCTGTAACTGTTTTTTGTTAACTTTGTTTTTGCCCACATGATTGGTTTACAAGTAACGTCAGAAGTACCATGTGCAAAAGCTGGTCTCTCTCCTTGGAAATGTGCTCTGCCACAGACATGACAGCTCCCAGGTAATGTCGAGCCTGCTCCTCCTGCAGCAGCCAGTCTTCCTTTTCTCTCTTTAGTGTGCTCGTCCTCCTCTCGGCCTTCCTAAATGATGGACAGACAGGGGGGAAAAAAAACAAAGGAGAGGAGAGGGGAAATAAATAATACAAAGATAAATCAAATGAGGAAAAAAAAAAGCAATATTGTAAACAGAGTGGCTGAGGACAAAGAAAACGGACAGAGATTAAAGAGCAGAATATCTTGACACACTGCCATCTGTACACAGGATGAAAACATCATTGAGTAATTCAACACCTTCTGACATTTTTCACACTTCAGAAAGAGAAACCACATTAATGTCAGAGGAGCTCCGCTGGGAGCAGAGGAGATTATTTTACCACAGCTCCCATACATCATTAAAAAATAAACCAGCAACCATCACTCACATCTACAAAGACTTTTTGTTTCTTCTACGCTACAAATTATTAGTTATCATTCATCAGTATTCAGAATGTGAGCTAAAAACCTGAAGAGAATAGATGTGTGATCGGGCAACGTGAGAAGAAGTCGTCAACAAAGTAAATGACAACACCTGATGAAATATGTGGGACTTTTTAATAACATTTTACTCTATTTTTAATCAAAATCACTTGCTCCTAAATTCTGTCTGCAGTTTCATCCTTATGCAGCTAAAATAAATAATAAAATCACGATGAAATACAAACAGTTCTGATAACAGCCAAAGGATTTGGGAGCATTTTGAATTTTACAACGTTTCTGAGAAAAAGACGCAGGATGGAACTCATTAATATTAGAAATATCAGGGCCTGTAACGTCTGCCAGCAGCCAGAGTTGAAAGAAGGTCAACAAGATAAAATCATGCTGAACGTGTGGAAATATACAACATTATTGTATATTTTATCTCAGAAAACTTTTCTGTTTAATATGGTTGACGAAACACGGTTTTAATTTATAATACYTATTGTGAATAGAAGCTCTAACTGGACTATACAAAAAGCAGCAGATGAAGTTTACATTTAAATTACTTGTTTTTATGGCTAAAGGACTACTTGACATTCATGTCAAAACACTGCCCAATTAAACATTTATGTTATGTATATATATATTTTTTTTCTTTTACTTTTTTAGTTACCATAAAAAAGAAGATTATGAATAATTCTGATTAGATAAACGCTCAGCTCATAATTCTACATACAGCTTTCAAAGAAGGGAACTTTCTTTTTCTAAAATGAGAGTGGTAAAAATAATAATTATTTAGTCTTTCAGCGTTATATTTCCTGTTTATTTCACATTAACATGGAACAAAATATAYATATTTTTTACAACTTAGTTAACCTTCATTACCAGAAAGAAATCAGCTGGGAATATTATAAGAAACTAAAGGGAATCTAATAATTATTTAATTTAATTATATTTATAGTATTGAACAGTAGATTTATAATTACCTCACATTTTAAAACATGCCAGAACAAACTGGCTCGGTCTCTACTGCTGAACGTTTTGAACTCATTTACACAGTAATAATGATATTAGTGATATTTTTTTTCCTAATATTTACTACCTGTTATCTTGTCTGCAGAGTTGCAGCTCAGCCTTCAGGATTTTAACATCAGAGCTCAGTTTGGTTTTTCTCAGAGCCAGACTCCTGTTCTCTTCTCGCAGACTGGACACTCTCACAAGTAGCCGRTCCATTTCACTCTTGTTTTTGCTCTCCTCCTGCTCCAGCTGTCTGAATGTGAAAAGCATAAAATACAAACCATCATTACCCATGTCACTTACTTTATACTGCGAAAGGTGAGAAGAGGCAACGGTAAAATAAATAACACACAGACATTAATCACTGATTTGTTGGAGTTGGCAACTTATTTCCATGAATTTGTACACATACTGTCTGTACAACCAATTGTTGCCAGATTAAGTAGTTCTTCTCCCTCCCGTTTTTGCTCGAACGTTGAAACAAAAAACACGTAACAAAACTGTTCAGAAATATTTGCACCTTCTAAGTTTCCCTGTAAGGCTGCAGTGTTCGTCCCAGGTGACGGCGTCCTTCAGGCGGGCCTGCAGGACCTGGACCTCCTTCACATGTCTCTGCACCTCCCTCCTGCTCTCCTCCAGCTCTTCCTGCAAACGCTGCTTCTCTGCCTCCAACAACATCACCTGCTTGGACATTTTTGTAACTACAGAGGAACAGATGAGAGGAGAGGGAAACCGGTTCTGATCAAATCGGAGCGGAGCATTTTCCTACACTGTTTTTTCTTTCTTTCTTTTTTTTGTCACCTTGGGGAAAAATATTTATATTTCCTTCAGTTTCAGTTCACAGTACCTTCTGATTGTTGTCTGCTGTGATTGGCCTTGGCCTTAACATGCTGAGCCTCCAGCTGATCATTTAGAACCTGGTTCTCCTGCAGAACCAGGAGGGCCTGCTGCTGAAGCTGCTGACTGCAGAGAGAAAAAAGATGGAAATAAAATTCAGTTTTTGTTCCTCCACAGATGAAGCTTCCTACTGCTGATATTTTACAGTGACTTGTTGTTTTCTTTTGTTTGTTTGAATCTGTAAGTGCTGAACTAAAATCCTCCACACTTCAAGTTTGTATCACAAAAATAAAAATAAATAAAAGCTCCTAACACTTTGAAGACATTTATGATCATTATYAGGATAGCCGATCTTTAGTTTGCGACATGTCTTCTTCTTTCTTCTCGTGATCAGCAGCTAATGAAGTGTGTGCGTTTGCAACAAAGTGTCCGCTTTTGTTTAAAGCGGTGCTGTCGTAAAATGCTGGCCAGTAATTGGCTGTTCAGCATTCAGCGATGTTCTGTTATTAAAAGCAGTCGTGCGATGGCCTGGATGTAAATGTTCAAAGCAATAAAGACAGAACAGTAGAGGAGCAGGAAGAAAGATGCAGAGGTTTTGCAAATTCTGATTTGTTATTCACCACATGAGAGTAAACGCTGATAGTTGACAGCATTACCCAGCGTGCGCGCGCGCACGCACGCACACACACACACACACACACACACACACACACACACACACGCACACGCACACCCACGCACACCAGTTCTTACCAGTCCTTCT